TTGTAAAAAATCGGTTTCTAGGAAGAAAATAGTCATCACAATTAACTTCATATTCTGGCTGGCTTTAATATTTTCTCTTCAGATGGCACTTCAGCTTTGAACATGTAACACAGATTTGTTTGATTAACATCACTGACTTGGAAATACGGCGAGCATCTGCCATAAATATGCTGACTTTTTGCTATGAGAACATCACTTCTCAACCTATTAATTTCAATCAACTAATTGATTTAAATAAATAAAATTAGCGACATCTACCGCTTTTGTGGGCGATTTTCAACAACAATCTTCCTAACTGCTTCGTACTGCTGTTCTTTCAACTTTAATAATGTCTTTTCTCCCAATTTTCTCCAAACCGAAACCAACGCTTCATGGAGCGCTTGATTTTTATTCATATTTTATACAATAAACCATATATTTAGTTGTGGCCAATCAGAAGCCAGTTTGATATGGATTTGGCCAGAGCCCCTCGTCGCGCTCGGTCGAACGCGCGTAAGAAGGGCTCTGGGTACGAGAATGGGGGTGACTGGTGAGCGAAAGAACAGGTGGGCAATTTGTCTGCGCATGCGCGAAGAAAATCAATATGGCGAAATATATTAGGAGTTTTTCGTGAATTTATCTGGTTTTAAGCTGATAAAACAACATTTTAATGAACGCAAACTTTGTAATATTTAGTGGAAAACATTAAGCTATGCATTCCAAAGGTTTTAAATTGAAAATAAGTACTTCTGCTGTATTTTGTTGCTTTTTATGCTTTGAAAACAGGCAAGCTCATTATTTTTGCAAAAATGTAATCTATTATTTTACCCATCATTTGTTTAATCTGAACAGAAATAGATAGAACATTTGGCTATATAAGTTACAAAGGTATTGTTAGCTGATCTGAAAAATTTCAGTATTCCTGGTACACATTTTAACAAAGAATGAAATGTAATTTCAAAAATTAAATATGCATATCAAAAACAATAGTTTTTATTAGAACAACATATAATAAGTTGTTATTTTCTATTTTTACAAAAACAAGTTTGGAAACAGGATTTAGCCCTCCAGCTTGGTGTCATATTCCATTTATTTGGATATTTCAATAAAGAATGTGAAATAATAATTCAATCTTGTGCAAAATTTGATACCAACACACATGTAAACAGATATTATCACCTAAAAATAAAAGAAAACAGAACTTAAATTTATCATCTAATGCTATGAAAAAATTCTTAGACACTACAGGCATATAGTGAGCACAATTCTTTGACAAACTCACTAAAATAAGTTCAGTTATGCTATGATAAGAGGGTGGCAATATATGACAACATCAAATGTCACCATATTCAGTGTCCAAAAAAAGTGCCGCGCGCATTTTTCATGGTCGCATAACTGGTATTGCCACAAACCCAGGTAAAAAAGCAATTAGAAAAACCTGGTTTGGGATGATGAGCATAGTCAAATTCTTGACTTATACAACTTTCTAAGTTTTTCCAGGTAAACAGATTCAACATTGAAATAAGCCTCATTCGGAACCTCATAGAAACCAGAATATTGTGTATGGACCAGATTTTTTTCAATTTTCTGTGATTTACATGACACTAGTTATAATTTAAGGGTCAACCAGTATTGTTCAAGACATATCTTCCTTCCAGAACACCTTTTCAAAATACTAACTCAAACATATCAAAAATAGTGCACATTTACAAGGGCAATTTCAACCCTTTGGCACATTTTTCCCATGAATGATTTTAATTCTAATAAAAAGACTACAGATAAAGCTTTGATTTAAAGCTAGTTTCAAGTGATGAGCATACCCTATTTTTTTAACTAAACCTCAAGGAAGATAGGTCATTTCAACATAAACATTGAAATATGGGTATGCTGACAGCTCTGTCACACTTGTAGTTTGGCATTAACAGCCCTTCTGAAACATTTTAATGAAAATATAATTCACAAAATTCACATTTTCACTTACTTCTTAACATCTGTTTTAATCCAACTAGCTCTGTAGGCACGAGCAAAATCTAGTGTTGATGTAAATATCCATTTAGTTCATGTTTCCCAGGTGAAAATATAGTCTATTCCAAAGCTGGATTTCGACATACTTTAGCTTTTCAGAAACCGTTGGCCTTCCTCAGTAAGATTATCAACTGTTTCACAAACGTATTTGATAGTAAACAGCTAAAATATTCTCTGAAAGTCTGTATTTTTCACTCTTCGACGCGAAAATGGCAACTCGAGAAGAAATGAGCCGCTATTTTTGGTCAGCGTCGACAAATTGCCCACCTGTTGGCATGCCCCAAATCCCCCTTGGGCCTGGGGACGAGGATGGGGAAATCGAATCTAAATCGTTATTTGATTGGCTGCCGTGATCATCAATGCTGCCGACACAATTAATGCGTGTTTTTTGCGAGAATTACGCGTGGACATACGCGAAGAGAGAATTGTCAATGTTTATCAGATTTGGAATGCGAAATCAAACGATATAAATCGAAGGATATGATATTAATCGTATGAAAAAGTATTGGGACGTTGGGTATATACTTACAAAATGGCATGGTATTTATGAATGACTTTTTATCGATCTACAGTACGAGTATATTTATTATAACCATGAAAGAATTGGCTAAATGAAATCATCGCACACGTTGTCGTTTTGTTAAATTGACATATTGTTGCCAGGACTTTGGAGTGACAACTTTTTCTTGTGTTAAAAACTTGAAGCTTTAAACAATACAGTACATTATGGTCAATGGTCAACACTCAACATGTTGTAGCCTGTGGTCTTTGTGCTTTTGTAAATGGAGTTATCTATATATATTTAAGATGCCAGGTGTTTTTGTAGCATCTGTATAAATTATAGAATAATTAATTTAAGAAGTTCCTCAGGTTGTAAAACATTTGGTTATAGATTTGCTTTGTAAGTGATTGCCACTTGACAGCATGATGGGCTATTCCATTTAATATCCGTACACCCCCTGTCGAGGATACATGTTTTTCATGGTTATACCCCTGAAGAATTCCAAGCTCAAAACCCTTTACCCCTGAAGAATTACAAGCTCAAAACCCTTTACCCCAGAGGAATTCCAAACTTGAAACACTTTACCCCTGAAGAATTCCAAGCTCAAAACACTTTACCCCTGAAGAATTCCAAGCTCAAAACCCTTTATCCCTGAAGAATTCCAGGGATCCTCGACAGGGGGGGGGGGGTATGGATATTAAATGGAATAGCCCGATGTAAGGCTATAACTAAGCCAAACCTGAAACAATTTTTACATCAATTTGTGTCTGGATAAAAAATAAGTAGTGAATTTAAATGCAGTTGTTTCCTTGTCTGTTGCTATGTGCTATGTGAAACAATGATGTTTATAGCAATAAGAGTCATTGTTGATCAATAACAATGCTCATTTGCTAAAAATATACAAGTATTGATTCCATTTCCAAACTATTATACTATGTGAATATATTGGCAATTAATCCAATTATATATAAAAGGAGATACTGACAGTAGAATTGAAATAGCTACCAGTTTCAATCAAATAATTACTTTAATTTCTGTATCAACTATCAAGCCTCCTGTGTATTGTTTCCTAAGCATCATTGAGGGGGCACTTGTTCTAAATATATGCAATAAGCAGGGTACGAATTAACGGCTCGCACTTCGCAATTTGCGAAGCATCTGTACATTTTTGCGAAGCGAAATTGCTTGGCAAACGGGAAAATGCGAAGTGAAAATTTTGAAAATATATTGCATAAACATAACGAACATGAATATGAGAGAGCCGAACGCGCTGTTTTTGCTTTTAGTTTGTTTGTCTGCTGTTTATATTGTTTTGACGAGGCTTTGATTTTTGTTTTGTAGTCAGGTTGCAGTCATACAATCCCAATTTATGCTGTAATCAGTCACGGTTAATATTAAGGGCGGCTAAATACTACAAACCGGATGTTTACTTTACGCCTAAAAGTAAAATGGTTTGCAGTTTGTCAAAATGCCAGTAATTGGCACACAGGCGTAGCCTAGGAATGTAATCGCATTCAATTGTTTCCTATTGTAAGTAATATTTAAATTAGTTTAGATTTTACTTATCACATTATACAAAATGGCGTATGGTCGTGCTTGTCTTTGCTCCGCAGAATGTTCAGATTTTCGTATAAAAAGTTTGAATCCAGACGCTTTCCTTGCTCATAAGGACGAGCTAGACTTAACCTATGATGGCAAGCGTTTAAAATGGAATAAAAACTTCGAAGATCTAAAATATTTCTTCGAGACAGTTGTTGGCCTGAACGGCAAATGGACATCGCCGGGAGGGAACTCTAAGAAGTTATCAAACTGTAAATCTAACATGACAATTACTTGGTATTATGGTAAACAAAGAACACTCCTATTCCAAGGAAAGGAAGGGTATTTGCTGAAAGACGTTTTAATAAAATTTTGTGAAGCGAACTCTACGTTAAAGTACTCAGAACCTCAATCGTCGCCTAAGCAAGCTGATTGCTATGAAGTGGCTTGCGCTGTAACTGAGTCCGGTGAAAGAACTATTACAGCTAACGCAGAGAATTTAACTAACTTGTCTAATATCGATGACTTAAGTAATATATCTCAGACAGATGCTATATTTAACATATCCAAAATCGATGATATACTAACAAGCTCTGATGCTTCTACTATAAAGGAACTTGAGGGCTTTATCGACAGGTCATTTTGTAGTGCTTTTGGGCTGCCTGATTTTGCCCAACCGACGGACATGTCTACTCCATCTAACCGACACACTGATGGAAATCTAGCCAAACTTGAATCACAATTTTTCACTTTTAAGGAAAGTGTTGAGGCACAGCTGCAAAATTTATCTTATAAACTCTCTGAGCAGAATAACATCATTAAGTCAAATAAACAAGAACTATGCAAATTAAACTGTGAAAATTTGCATTTAAAATCATGTATCTCAGAGTTAGAAGTGAAATTGCTGTCAACGAATACATCAAATGCGAACTGTAGTTTGGATCTGGAAAGTCTAATGGTTAAAGAAAATGCTTTCCCAACTGTAAATGCTGATGTCTGTATTACTTCTAGTGGCAGTTCATCTGAAACTAATAACAGTCATGAAAACGTTAATCAACCAACCGTGGACTCTGACCTTGACCCTCCAGTGTCCGAAATGAATAATTACTCAAAGGAATCAATTGAAGCAGCACAGCTTTCAATTTCTGTTACCAAAGAACGAGAAGCTACCCCAATCACTCAAGCGACAAATGATAACAGCAATATAGAACCAAATGTTGGAAAATCTTTCGTCTTAGCACCTCCACAACGGAACAATATCGAATGGTTAGGTCGCTTACCGTTGATTGAAACACTAAACCAAGCTAATCAAACTTCGTTCTGCAACACTAAAAGTAGAAGTAGTAGTGTTTTTAAAAACCGCGACACCGAGTATTATAAAGGTTGTCTGACAAATTCAAAGCCTTTAACTTCACCAAGGCATAATAACATACGTAATTCCCCTGGTCGACGCCCTTTTTTAAAACGTCAGAACATCAAACCGCCATCATATCGAACATCTCATCGTTATCACTCACTAGAGTGGTTGATCCATCTGGATGTGGTGTACCGCATGATGAGACAATGAGAATACCAGCCAGAATCACCTCGCGCTACCCTACACAGAATATGACTCAAAATGGACCAAATTTTTCGAACCTAGTAAATATTCAAATTGTAAACTCTAGGGAAAAGACCCTAACTGCGATAACAAAAGAACATGTTCCAAAACCGCTTTCGGATATGCAAAGATCGAAACTTAGAATTGCCCACCTAAATGTTCGCTCAATTAAGAATAGGAATCATCTTATACAGGTTCGAGAACTTATGAAGGATAGGAACTATGATATTTTAGCCTTGTCAGAGTCGTGGTTAAACTCCACGGTGACAAACGCGGAAGTAGAAATCGAGGGCTTTAAACTAACAAGATTGGACCGTTTGGGAAAGACTGGAGGGGGTGTTTGTGTCTATTCTAAATCGTCGATTAAAGTCAAATGTCTCAAAAACATAACAGGGATATCTGAATTCGGATTTCATCAGCTATGGATGCTAATACAACTCAGGAAACTAAGATCAATTCTCCTCTGTGTGACATATAGGCCTGATTATTGTCCTACTTCAACCTTTCATGATATTTTCATGGAAAATTATATACATGCTCTCACATTAGGAAAAGAGATAATTGTTGTAGGTGATTTAAATTGTGATTTGCTGAAACCGGATTCTCCAGAGGCTATGTCGCTACTAGATTTTTGTACAAGTGTGAATCAAACTCAATTGATAAAAGAACCTACACGAGTAACAGAAACGTCATCTTCCCTTATTGATATTATCATGACGTCGAATGTCAGTTTAGTAGAAAATCATGGGGTGGCTTTATCTCACATTAGTGATCACTATCTAACATATGCTTCTTTGAAACTTAAGATGTTGAAGCCGCCACCTAGTTATAAATGTGTGAGATCCTACAAAAACTACAAACCTGATAGTTTCCTCGCGGATTTACAACGAATACCTTGGTATGATATTTCCATCATGGATGATGCAAATGTAATGCTAGACCATTTCAATGAGAGGTTTCTCCATGTAATGGAAACACATGCACCTGTGAAAACAGTGAGGATTAAACACCGCAGCTGCCCCTTTATTAGCACAGAAATTCGCGAACTTATGCAATACAGAAATAACCTATTGAAAACGGCTCGAAGTACTAAATTAACAACAGACTGGGAAATGTATCGTAAACTAAGAAAAGAAGTAAAATCCAAGCTGAGAGATGCCGAAAGGGAATATGTACGGAAAGAACTAGAGCACAGTCACAACACTAATTCAAAGTGGAAGATAATTAAGAATTGTATTCCTCGTAAAGAAAGCACTCAACAAGTCTACACAAAGGATATGAAAGAAGTTGCTAATGAGTTTAATCAGTTTTTCACCTCAGTTGGTAGGAGAGTATCAGAAGATTGCACATCTTTAATAGAATTATATAACCTGCCTGCACCTCCAACAAGTGTTTCGCTGGCTGTCGCTGAGTCACAAAATTTTAGTTTTGTTCCTGTCTCGTGTGGAGAAGTACGAAGGACAGTTATGGCATTCCAATCGAACAAAGCTCCTGGCCATGACAAAGTACGAATGTCTACGATAAAGGATGCACTTCCATGTATTCTCCCAGTTATTACTGACATGATAAATCGCTCGTTACAGACTTCAGTCTTTCCATCAGCCTGGAAAATATCAGAAGTAATACCACTTCTTAAAGAGGGAGATCACGAAGTGGCAAATAACAATCGACCACTATCGTTACTACCAGTGACTTCTAAAATTTGTGAACGAGTAGCTTTAAATCAACTGACCTCTTATACGAACAAAAAGAAATGCCTAAGTAAACATCAAAGTGGTAATAAACAACTACATTCATGTGAGACTCTTGGCGTGTTTATGACAGACAAGTGTTTAAAGCAATGGACTCAAAAGAACTCACAGTCATAGTATTGCTGGATTTGTCAAAAGCGTTTGACAGTATAGATCACCGCAAACTCTTAACAAAGCTAAAAGCATTAGGCCTAAGCCTTGGCGCCTTAGAATGGTTCAAAAGTTACTTGACCGGAAGGACGCAGCAGGTGAAGATTGGCTCAGTTGTGTCAGAACCAGGTCATATCACTCATGGTGTACCGCAAGGTTCGATATTAGGACCTGCTTTGTTCAATATATATTTGAATGATTTGCCCACCATCCCGAATTTCGGTGACTTAGAATCGTACGTAGATGATTCAAAATTGTATCTTTCGTTTCCCATCAAGTATGTTAATGAAGTTATGCGGAATATCAATGAAGACCTGTCAAAAATCACAGCATGGTGCTGTCACAATAGTCTACTAATTAATCCAGACAAGACCAAAGTGTTAGTACTAGGAACACACAAAATGTTGCAACGATTACCGGATGACTTTTATGTGACATTACTTGAGAAAAGGATTACTCCCACTATTTCAGCACGCGATCTTGGGATTCAACTTGATTCAACACTAAGTTTTAACGAACATATAGCAAACACTGTTTCTACTTGTATTGCGAGCTTATGTCAGATAAACAGGGTTAAACATCTTTTTGACCCTAAGATTTTGGAAAATGTCATCTCGTCCCTAGTATTTTCCAAATTGTATTATTGCTCAAACGTATGGTCCAGTACGACTAAGAAGAACATAGAAAAATTACAAAAAGTGCAAAACTTCGCGGCGAGAATAATCACAGGAACACAAAAATATGAGCATATTACTCCAATACTCAAACAACTGAATTGGCTACCTGTCCCAGACATGTTAAAATACTTTGTTGGCGTTCTAACGTTCAAATGTTTGAATGGACTAGCCCCTGACTATCTCAATTCATATTTTCAGGAGAGATTATCTTTACACGATAGAAACACCAGAAATAAACAAAAACTAAACATTCCAGCTTATAGATCGGCGGCCGGACAACGAACATTTGAATACCGAGCAGTATCCCTGTGGAACTCTCTACCTAGTAACATTACTGTATATGACAATTGTAAAGACTTTAAAAGTAATTTTTATAACTATCTGCTTGAACTCTTTCTTTTAAAATCTTAATGAACTTATCTAATTTTAACGATTTTAAACTGTAAATATACAATAGAATAATTTAGATATAATTTACATGTATATTAATCTGAAAAACCAAATGTTTGGAGAATTAATTAATTATAATAATAATAATAATACGAGCAGATATGAGAAACGTTTACATAAAAGTTAAACAGGGTTTTTTTGTGAACATTGGTGGCCTTGTTGCTACTAATTATTTTTGAAAGTTATTTGTGAACACACAAATTAAGTATTGCTTGTTGCTTAATTTATAACTAACATTTTTAACAAAATGACCTGTCTTGCATTTTAATATGCTAGCTGAATATAGTAATCACCAGTACAGCAAGACACTGCAGAGTACAACGAAAAGTTCGTTGTCTCAAGCGGGAATCGAACTCGTTCGAGACAATGAATTTCGGAATTTCGTTGTACTCTGCAATGTCAGAATAATATGTAACTAGTTTTTCATACGGTATTTCTGAGGATGGTTTTGAAATAGGCAGTATTTATTTACCAAAATTTTTGCGAAGCTGTTTTGACACCTTAATTCGTACCCTGATAAGTCTGGTTACCATTAAAAAATGTCCATATTCAGAGTTACCATTGTACTATATTTTATTAAAATACTGCAGAAATGCAATATATTTCATGATTTTAAGAAATTGAATGAGGGCTGCATGGTTAAAAGAGGAGGGGGGCTTATTTATTTTTTATTTTTGTATCCAAATGAGGGGGGGGGGGGCGTATCGGAGAGGGGCTTGAAGAGAAGGGGGCTAAATATAGAAATTACAGTACCTCCATTCCTTCCTCTCCCTTCCCAAACATGCTGCAGGAGAGGGGCAACTGCAGGGGTTAAAGCCTGGATTGCAAGGTTGATGTATAATTTGCATGTTATGTACCTGGTAATATGGAGAAATGAGCTAGTAAATATATCCTTGCCTATAATTAGTTGCTGATTAAATGTTCAAAGATACACAGTGTGAAGCATGAAAAACAAATGGAAGATACACACTGCAAGAAATTTTCAACAAATATATATGGATTTGTTCACTTCATTTCTTACTTTTGACACAAGTAATTATGGTAATTATAATTACAAACACAATGTATTGTCATTTAAAGACTTTATATGTGATACATGTTAATGTAATATAATATAAAAAATGTGTTTATTGTTAAAATATAGGATATATAATACCGTAAACCTCTGACTATAAGCCCTGGGCTTATATTCTTTTGATGGGCTTAGGGCGGGGGGCTTATATGCATGGGGGCCTTATACATGGACAATCAATTGTGTTAGTAATAAACAAGTCAGTCATAAACAGGAAAATAAACATGTATTAATAACACATTTCCATTAACCTAGTAAGCTATAAAGACAATGACAGTGTTTCAAATATTGTTTGCTGCTATATTAAAAGACAATGTCAATGTTAAATAACATAGTGGGATACTGGGCTTATATTCAGGGGGCTTATATTCAGGGGGCTTATATTCAGGGGACTTATATTCAGGGGGGCTTATATTTGGGGGGGGGGCTTATATTTGGAATGAGGTGAGCATTATATTCAGAGGTTTACAGTATACAGTTCAAAAAAGCTTGTATTTTCTTGTCACAGACACACATTTCTGGGTGCATATAGAACAGCTTATACATCAGGTTCTCATGTCGATCGAATGGTAATTTGATATCGCTGCCATCACCATAATATAGTGTAGCACAGAATGGCCTTGTATCATACTTTGACATCATGATGCAGAAATGCCTTGGTCATTCATGTGGAGATATGACTATCACGATAGAATTAGTTACGCCAAGTAACACGTCGTACACGTCAGGTAGCAGCTGAAATATTTTAATATTTGCCATAATAAGCCCATAACCTGTTGGCAAAAGAACCAAACATCTTCACCATTTTACATTTATATGGCCAAGATACATTTGAATGTCTCGTCTTTTAACGAATATTCAATCCCTCTTTTCGCTAGAACAACTTTCATAGCTCTTTCAGTATTTGCCATTGAATATAATTTAATAGTAGTACGATTGAAAGCACCTTTAAACGTATAAAAACCCATTTTGTAGACTATATTCTGATGAGAATCTTCGTTTAAAACAATATCGATTGTGAGCGTGTGCCCGCGCGAATTTAGTAAGCGGAATAAACAAAAGCAATAAAAGCGCATGCGCCATTTATCTCATTTTGGATAAAAAAAATTCGATTTCCCCAGAGTCATGCCACAACCTAACCCGCGAACAGGCATACTCTGGGAACGAGATTGCATATTGCATAGCCCGCGTGCAGGCCCAAGGGTTCCCTTGGGCCTGCACGCGGGCACAGAATACTACACAGAAGTCCATCTCCATTGTTTTTTGCGTAAGCGTTATTCGTCATGATTCGTCACTCAGCAAGTACCGTAAACAGAAGCAGTCACCCCCCTGGACGTTCGCCATTTTTAGTATTTCCAGGGTGGGGGACTGCTTCTGTTTACGGTACTTGCTGAGTGACGAATCATGACGAATAGCGCTTACGCTAAAAACAATGGAGATGGCCTTCTGTGTAGTATTCTGTGACGCGGGCTAGGGACGCCGCGGAGCTTGGGTAGAGCAGGTAGGGCACAGTAACCTGAACCAGGCTGAACTGAATTTCAGGTTAGGCACACTGATCTAGAAATATAGAACCGGTTAGGCACAGGGGGCAATGTTGACGTAAGGGCAATCATAATTAATATTTCGTTCCCGAAAATGTTTTCCGGGACCTTAATTTCACCAAAACAAGGGCGAAAAATTTTGAAAACATAATTTTTGACACAATATTCCAGGAAATTTCACGTATATTTCAATATTACGTACATTTCACCCGTAATTCATACTTTTTAATCGTTGTACCTCACATTTTTGGGTTAGAATTTTTACCTTTCGCCCCCTGCTCCCCTTACAAAAGGGCAAGGGGGCGATGCCCCTCCCCCCTTGTTACGCCCCCCCCTCCGGCGTCCCTGACAATTTCCTTTCAAAAAAAATTTCTTTCAAAGTTGAAAGGGGTCGGAAGTGCAACATTCCGGTGTAGTCAGATAAATGTGGAAAGTTCCAGCCTTTATTTTTGATTCCATTAATTCTTCAATTCGTGTTTTTTTTATATATATATATATATATATATATATATATATATATATATATATATATATATATATATATATATATATATATATATATATATATATATATATATATATATATATATACAATAATAAATCGTTGTCCGTTGTACAAAAAGAGTGCTCAATAACAAATTTAATTGATAGAGCAAAATATACTAATTATAATCTTAAAATTTTATTAATCGCTACACAGTGTTTCACGCTTTCAAAGCGATCTTCAGGCGATACTACTCTAAATAGTTTGCTTGCGCCATTCATTCAACGGTCCGCTGACGCGATTGCATCATGCGCGCGTGCGTTTAAAATTCTGCGCGCTAAATGAGTTTCTGTGGCGGCACTTTGAAAATAGTTCTGTTCGTTTGTTCAACGTCCTATCTTTGTGAGATTTAATTATATAAAACTTCTCCTCTACGTAAAGGTTGCAAGAATTTGCACCTGCTGTATAGGCTGATGCATGCGACAAAACCGACCACTTTATAGTATACGGTCGGATACTTTGTTTTAGCTTCCATGCGTACTTAGAAAGTTCGATTTCGTTTGAATAGCGAGGTGAGTTGATGGATTTCTAATTTATATATATATATATATATATATATATATATATATATATATATATATATATATATATATATATATACCAAATATGTATTTAGAATCATATATGAGTAGAGTGCTCGATATACCGAAGTATAGAGCTAATATAGATAAAGATAAAATAAACCTGGTTTACTTCGTAAGATTTATTCACTACAAACTTGTTTCGTATGACAAGCAATGCTTGCCACACTCATCAGGTGAATTTAAAAATCTAAATTAAATAGTAATAATCGATTTTTAAATTCACCTGATGAGTGTGGCAAGCATTGCTTGTCATACGAAACAAGTTTGTAGTGAATAAATCTTACGAAGTAAACCAGGTTTATTTTATCTTTATCTATCTATATCTATATCGATATCTATATCTATTATATATCTATTATATATCTATATCTATTATATATATATATATATATATATATATATATATATATATATATATATATATATATATATATATATATATATATATATATATATATAAAATTAATTATTGCTACTCAAGTTTCATGCCTTATTCAAGACGATCTTCAGGCAATTAATTCAGTTTGTGTTTGATTCGTCAGCATCAACGGTCGGTCGCTGACGCGTAGGCTTGTCTTGCGTCATTGGTTTGAATTTGCACGCGCTAAATTTTTCCTTATGACAGCACTTCGCATAAAACTCTGATCATCCTACAACAAAACAAATTATACTTGCACCTGATTCTCGGTTGTGCACTCTTGCTCGTGTAGATATCTGTTGAAATATCTTAAAATGCATAGAATTCAGTTCAACTATTCGTTAAAGAATATCGGTTTACCAACGAAAGATCATTACCGCAAACGTTTGATTGAAAAAGCCGAAAGTGTTGTTCAGCGAATGAGATGGAAAGCCCATTTCTTTTTGGGAAATAACGAAGTTACATATTCAGAAAACAATTACGGATTACCATCAAAGAATTATGCTCCACCAATCAGAGAGATGAAGGCATTTGAGGACGACCTTGTCAAATTAACCTCAAATATCCGTTTCAGAAACGTGGCCGGTCCATTTCTAAGCAAAGTTCAGGAAGATATAAAGAACATCAATTCATCCCAAAAAGTCGTTGTCTTCGCTGATAAATCTAGTAATGTTTACGAAACTTCTCCAGAAAATTACAGAAAAACACTTACCGACAATATTACAAAAAGTTACAAGCTCAGTGGAAATGAAGGCGTTACCGATACCATCAACCAAGAACTAAAAGACATAACTAACAGTCTTTCTATAGGAAACCGAATTGATATCATGGCTGAAAGAAATGCTTATGTAACCCTGAAGGATCACAAAGAAAACTTTCAAAACAACCCCAAATTTCGTCTCATTAATCCTGCAAAGAGCGAGCTGGGAAAAGTCAGCAAAGTCATTCTTGACAATATTAACAATCGCATTAAACCTTCCATCAACGTGAATCAATGGAAAAATTCCTATTCTGTCATCGATTGGTTCAAATCTGTTAATAATAAACCTAATCACATGTTCCTGTCATTTGACATTGTTGATTTTTATCCTTCAATTACCGAAGAGCTCCTCGACAAAGTTATTAGCTGGGCCAAAGCCATTACACCAATCTCTGATGATCATGTAGCTGTCATCAAACACGCACGCAAGTCCTTACTTTTTCACCAAGATAAAACATAGGTTAAAAGAAATAACGAAACAATGTTCGATGTTACAATGGGCAGCTACGATGGGGCAGAAATTTGCGAACTAGTCGGATTATTCATCCTAAGTAAACTTGAGGCGAAGTTCGGAAAGAATCAAGTTGGTCTGTACAGAGATGATGGGTTGGCAATTTTGAAAGCTAAACGAGCCAGATCAGCCGATAAAGCGAGGAAAGAACTACACGCTATCTTTAATAACATTGGTTTCAAGATAACAGCAGAGGTGAACTATCATGTTGTCAACTTCCTAGATCTCACATTGGACTTGAAAAACGAAACATTTTCACCTTTTAGGAAACCAAACAATGACCCACTCTACGTCGACAATAGATCTAACCACCCACCTTCTATCATTAACCATATCCCTTCCTCAATCAACAAACGCATCTCCTCACTTTCTTCCGATCAAGCATCCTTTGATTCTGCTGCACCATTTTACGAAGATGCGCTTAAGCGCAGCAACTACGATGTACCTCTGCAATACTCGGCCTGTGATAATTCCTCCAGTTTGCCATCTACCAACCGAAGACGTCGTAGAAACATCATTTGGTTTAATCCTCCCTTCAGTAAAACTGTTCGCACTAACGTTGGTCGAAATTTCCTACAATTGATTGATAAACATTTCCCTTCTACTAACCCGCTTCATAAGGTCTTTAACCGCAACACAGTCAAAGTTAGCTACTCTTGCATGGAGGATGTCAAAACCATTATATCCCGACATAACCATCGCTTGTTAAAGAGAAACCCTACCCAAAAACCTGTCCAATGCAATTATATTGAAATTATAGCATCAAGTGGTCCATCTTGAAAAGAGCTGCTGCGTATACGCCTGGTGGAAAACGATGTGGCCTCTGTTTGGAAGAGAAGTTATGCATCCTGAAAGCGAAAGGGAACAATTCACTGAACACGCGATCAGAGTTTTATGCGAAGTGCTGTCATAAGGAAAAATTTAGCGCGTGCAAATTCAAACCAATGACGCAAGACAAGCCTACGCGTCAGCGACCGACCGTTGATGCTGACGAATCAAACACAAACTGAATTAATTGCCTGAAGATCGTCTTGAATAAGGCGTGAAACTTGAGTAGCAATAATTAATTTTAAGATATAAATATATCTTGCTCTACATTTGTATTAGTGTTGAGCACTTTATTATCTACTACAACAAAACAAATTATATATATATATATATATATATATATATATATATATATATATATATATATATATATATATATATGTATATATATAAACGAAACGGTACCGAAACGGTACCGTCTGTAGTTATATATATATATATATATATATATATATATATATATATATAGGGTGTATAAAAATAAACGCAATTCATCTTTTGTGCTTAATAACTTTCGAAATACTACTTCTAGTTAAACGCTTTTAGGCTTACTTCAAAGCCTGTTCTTTTCTCTTTCAAACAAACTATTATCCTTGTCTCCAATGCTAGTAATAATTGCACAGGAAAAGATTTAGTAAAACCTATCATTTTTAGTTGCTGTTTAATTATGCAAGTTTACTATGTTATTGTTTAGTCGGTTTAAATGTTAGAATTTTCTTCTTTAAACTTTAATGTTGTCGTCACTACATCTGGAAAACCACGTAAGAACAAATTAAAAGTATTTTTAAAGAGACCAGGTTGTTTGAAAATCCTAAACGAATGCTAAAAATCGTCAAAACATTCTGGTGTCTGAGCCAGAGTGTCATCGAATTGCGACTGATGTAATGTAAACAGAAATTATAGCAAGTTGATGTCAGTCAGCTTAGATGATCCAAGCCAGAATTATATCGCATTTGAAGTTTCAAACTGAGTTAAAAATAGTGGAAGAAAAGCCGTAATTATACTTATTGTCACAATCCATTTAATAAAATGCAACATTTTGTTGTTTTTATGAAAAAATCAGTTATTTTCATGAGAACGATTTGTTAATCCATTTCAATTTTTTTAATCTCCAATCGCAATAACGTAAAGTATTATTACCCGCGAACCAATGAGTCAAATTTAAGAAACAACCCACTGTTAGAAAGCTGAATGGCTACGCTTTAAAATAAATGTAAACTTTAACGTTTTCGTCTATTATTTGTTTAGCAATTTACATTTCAGTCGAGGATTGCGCTTTTTTTGATACACCCTGTATATATATATATATATATATATATATATATATATATATATATATATATATATATATATATATATATATATATCTATATATATATATATATATATACACTGTTAATTTGAAGGTGTTAAAATAGCACCTTCGTAGGTGTTAAAATGACACCTTGTGGTGGTGTTAAATAAAAAGTGTTAATCTAACACCAATTTGGGTGCTGAATTAACACCATGAAGGGCTATCTTTAAAACAAGGAACGGGGAATCGGGGAATGGGAACGGGGAATGGGGAATGGGAACGGGGAATGGGAAC